TATGTGCGAGACTAAAAATTCCTTCTGCAGTGGGGAAAATTAACTCAAAGCTCAAAAATCAAACATCTGTTGTTTGGTTCTTCTGGTCTACTTTTAAGGAAGCAGAATGAGTGGAGAGGCCATTTAATCCCTTGGAGCAGGTAAGTTCCACTCAGAAGGGAAGGAACTCAAGGTCTTGTTTACAGTTCCCTGTTGGCAGGTTACCCTTTTTTTGGTAGAAAATCAAAGGGGAACCATCAGAATGCTGTCTTAAATGGCTTCTCTGTTCAAACAAAAATTCTAAAGCATTTGAAAACTGTATAATATGCACAAAAGTCCCCTCAAACCTTGCTGGGTGAATTACTATGTATACCTTTCTTCCGTAATGCTCCAAACTATGTTTAACTTGCTTCCTGAAAATACTTGGATGTCAGCTTGGTATTTCCTTAAGATCATATAACTACATTGCTAGAGCCAAGAAGTGAAGAGTACCAAAACTACATATATGCAGAGCAGGCTTTACACTGGACTCTCCCAAGATGCTAGTCCCACTTCACTGTAAAATGTCACGAGATGTTTGCGGATTGTAAGGGGCCATTTTGGCTCAGAATATTGAGTTGACATGGAACACACATTAGCAGTGACTCCTGTTATGGTGAAGTTTGGTTCACAAAAGGGAGCAGTACCGAGTGTTGCTTAGACCATCACCAACACAGCTTCTAGCCGTATCTTACTGTCTTCATATAAACACCCTTGTTTGACACGGAGGTGGGGTTCCTGGAAGTCTTACCACTTCTGATCCCTATACTCTGTTCTGAGATTAGGATGGGGCAAACTGCTCTCACTGGTTAAAGCTGGGTCATATTATATTGTAGTATACATAGGCTACGCCTATGGTAGGGTCTTCAAACTCCTTTTTAGGAAAGGGAAAAGCAAAGCATGGAAAAGAACAGAAGCCAGGTCTCTTAGGCAGATCTTCTCCTGATCTTTATCAGCTTTGCTCCATGGGCATTGCATAGATCTACACTAGTTTACACTAGCCGATAGCTGGCCCGTTGGGCTTGAATAGAAACATCTTCCTGCCCAGCCTGGTCTTGCTGCTACTGGAATTCACTAAGGATTGTTTGCAACATCATAGCCCATAGCCAAGGAAATGAATGTGATGCCACAAATTTGCTATGATGCTTCACTTCAGGAACAAGCAAAACAGGAGCTGGCAGAGAAAGAACATTTGCTAACACAGACAGCTTTGATATTTAGCCAAAATGGCAAGAAATTGTATGAAAGACAAGACAGACAAACAGTTTTGGGAATGTCATGTATTTTAAAGTTTCATGCAGTAGGAGAATGTTAATTTAAAATATACTTTCCTGAAATAATTTCTATTAAGCATAGGAGTGTGTCATTTATCAGCCAGTTCTGGATTAAAAGGATAAACTTTTGGTTGGTAAAGATGATTTGGGTGAGCGGTAACGTAATGTACTGCTAGGTCTCTCTTTTACAGACCAAGATGACAGGTACATGTGCTTGATGTGAAAAGCTGTGCTGTTTCGCAAAGGACTAGAAGTCAGTTTAGCCGTTGTGGAGTTGTAGTGAGAGAATTAACCGGAGGAACACAATGCAACACAGCAATTCCTACTGCAATGCATTCTGCAGCTGAGTATCTGAGAGGAAACTGCAAATTCTAACAAATTAAATGATACAGTCATCACCCTCTTTTTTATGGATGGGGAAAGGAGCGAACAGAAAGCTAAAATAGCTTGCCCAGAGGGTGCTCAGTCAATGCATAGCAGAGAAAGGGAGAGAAATCCAATCTGATTATGAATCCAGTACTATAGCCACAAGATCATTCTTCTCATCCTGACACAAATGCTGTTTAACATGAAAACTCCTTTCTGCAAAGGGACATTAACCGATAACGATCTTGCCCAACACGGGAAAATAGCTAAGTTTCTCCCCAAGTAGAGTTGTGAACCTTAGAGAATAACATTTAGTTTAAAAAAGCTCTTTAAAAATCATAGCGTACAGGATGGCAGTATCTTAGACTCTGCATTGGAATGAGGGCCACAGATTCTAACACTCAGATTCAGTTATGATAGTGATAAAGTCCAACTGGCATGTAGTGGAGGTGGTGTTTTCTTTGGGCAGTGAGATATTAAACCCAGAAACTGTCAAGTTCAAGAAAATAATTGTGTTGTGTTTGTTATGGGTTACCGACCAAACAAAATCGAGAAGAGATCTGAGATAAGATAATTTTGGGACTGCTTCTGATATTAAGGATGTGTTCTATTGAAAAGGCTTTTTATGGAGGAAAAATGAACCCTCCCAAATTTCATGAATCCCATCTCCATTGTGTCAGCCTACTGAGGAAAATGCTGGCTTTCCAAATGGATAGGATTTGCAGCTGAAATTTTCAATTCCCAGAGCATGCCTGGCCACCCAGTAGCGGCAAATCCCTGGTGTGCATCTCCAGGGGCTTTTCCTTCCTTGGACAGCACTAATGTTCATGTTTTGGTTAATGTCACAGCTGGAGAGTTTCACTATTGCTCTGAGAATCATTAACCACCTTGTTGTGATTTTTAGCTCTCATTCCCAGGAGGCCATGCTGTATTGAACAGCTGCTCCTGGCTCCCGCACCCCTCAGGAGGGCCATATTCCAATTTTTGGTAGGGCCGTAACTGCATTTTGTTTCTGCAGAGGGCTTTCTGCTAGACCAAAAAAGGGAAGGAGAATGGAGCAAATGCCAACCCTTTTCACTCCATTTCCTTGGGGGGGGCTTCATTCTCTTCCACACGGCTAAGGAGAGAGTCTGGCCAAAATCTAACATCATTCCTGCCTTTGTTGCATAAGTGACTTTCCAATATCCTAAAGCTCTGCAGGGCAGTCAGCCATAACCCAGCGACACTCCCAGAACTGGTGCACTCGAGCAGTTCGTAACCATGGAAAACACCTTTTTGTGCGGCTTTTATGAAACTCTGGTGAATCTGCACTTGCTATTTGAAGGCCAATATTTAGTTAAGAAAAAAATAAACACCGATAAAAATGGAGGGTTGGTACTGATTGACACACTAAATGGAGTCCAGTGGGCCCTTCTTGTAAACCCTCACTGCGAGGCTAGGAACTTCGGTTTGTTTTACTCTTTATGTGGCCAGCCACTTCCACTGGCTTTGGTATATATGTAATATTTTTTCTTAGAAAATATTTCCTATAATCTGCTTTTCTGTAAAATTTGTCCCTAAATTAAATTATATGCTTCTTTACAACTCAAGTCACTATTATTCAAAACCCTTACCAAAAAGGAAGATGCATGCCTGAATATGTACAGAACTATATGTTTAGACATCAGCATAGCTAATTAACAAACAGTAATTATTTTCCTAATCTTTTGTTTAAATACTATTAACTGGCTGCTCTTGAGAAAACCTCGATTCCCAATTAACGTGGCAGCTGTCTGCTGAACACTGAGCCACAGTGACCAGCTCGAGCCGATACCGATGGGTGGTGTTCTGCGAACTTCAGCGGACAAATGTCAGTTTTTATGCCAGCTGAGAATCAGGCCAGACACGCATTTAGCTTGTTTACATGATGACACTATCACAAAAATTAAGTATTAAGATTACTGCTAAAATGATGTTGGGAATTTTTTTCTTTTAGACACCACACGCTGCCAGTAAACTGAGTCACAACCGTAATGACAAATATACATTGACCTAGTTTCATTTTTCCCGGTTCTGAAGACAAGGAAATAGTAAGGCATTGCTGACTGTATTCAGTGATAACTATGACTAAACATTAACCTTTTAGATTCCACCGCTGAATCTTACTGATAGGACTTAAAAGACAGTATCTCCCATCAGAGAGCGTCAAAACTTCCTGATAGCACAAGTGTTGGTCTAAGGTCAGAAAGAGGAGTGGAGGGGGGGGAATGAATCAACTTCTTAGCTCAACAAAAATCTACTGATCAATTCTTGAAGTCCTGATTCTAGAAGATCATGTTCACAATCTTACCAGACTGTCTCATACTAAAACCTATTTTAATTTCTAAGCGAGCCAGAGCATCTTGCTGAGTTTGCAGTTGTGCACTATCGCGTAGCAGAAGGCAATGCAAAACTCCGAGAACTACCAGATTTTAAAAATGCCCCCTGGAACCTGTGCAAATCTCCTCAACAGTATATAAAGCTTTAAAAACGTAGGCTTCACATGGTCTGAACAGCGAATACCTCTTTGCACATCAAGCAGTGGTTGCATATAGCGTTTAAATAATAAGCTTGAAAAGCACGCAAAGGGATTTGCTCTTTCGATTAGATTGATTTTTGTTTGTGGATGTTATTTGGACTCCCTTCACTGTGGAACAAGTCCCCTACAGTTGCCATTAAAGCACTGAAAGCTTCCCTTTTGTTTTTAAATGTCAGTTTGAGCATAGCTTCATTAAATCATTTCACAATTAACTCCCTGAACATCCAGACTTTTTTAAAGCATCAAACCCAGCTGAATCGCATTTGTTTCCCAGAAGAGTGAGTCCAAAGTGGTATCCCCAAGTGTGTATCCAGGAATTTGTATATTTGACTTGTGGCTACACAAAATACATATGGGAGCCGTGTGGGTGGTGGAGAGAGGATTAAAGCTTTCTCCCTGGGCCTAAGAAATACCATAGCTTCTTGCCCAAAATGCAGGGCTCGGGAACCAAGTCATAAGGGAAAGACGTCTGGGTTAATCTAGGAAGACTTATTCCCAAAAGAACTATAAATGAAGTGAACTTGAAAGAGTTGTTAGTTTAGCCCAGTATGTATAAGCAGCAATGTTTTCGATGAGGCTATCTGTCTGACTTCCATGTAGTATCTATCCTCTAAAACCTGCCTTGAGATAACAAACTGCCTCCTCCTGACAGTAAACAAGATCCCAAAGGTCCCAGGTCTGTGTCACAGCTTAGCTGCTGGCCTTGATTTCTCTCATGCGTGGTTATGTGAAATGCCAACAAAGCAGAAATAAACCTGTAACCTTAAGCTAACTCTTTTCTTGTTAACATAAAAGCAGCTCAGAATTTTGTCCATCATATACAGAGCGGAGAGCTCTCCTACTTCCCGAGAGCTAGTCCAGTCCTCATCTCTGAACAGCCGATACATGGTGATCGCAGCACGTTGCGCAGTGCTATTAGCTCTTGGTTCCCGCTGCGTCTATACTTACTTGGAGAAGTGGGAGACGTGGCCCCTCCTTCCGTTGATGTAGTTGGAGGTTTTGTGTCTGGCACTGGCAGAGGCACAGGCCTAGCCATTGGTGGCGGAGGTGGTGGTGGCAACATTGGGGTAGGAAGGAATGGATTGTGCACCTTGCCTTGGCTGCTACCATTGGGCTGTCAAAAAACAAGCAAACAGACAAAAATTATACTAAAAATCAGCTATTAGGAACCTCCGTAATAACAATCTAATTGAAAGCTACGTGCAATACATTTACAATTACTTGAGAGGTGGCAAAGAAAGTGCTGTGTTAAATTGTCCATTGACTTCACGGAACTTTGTCTCAAACCCTGTGAACCTTGTGAAACTACGGAAGTTCTCGCTTTTAAACATTTGTCCTATTAGCAACAGATCTGAACTGCCCTGGATTCAATTCTACTACTCTTTACATTTCCTGCAGCCACTAACTGATGCTCAGTGAGAGTTGAAGCAGTATTTTTGACCCCTTAAATCCCCCGGTTTCGTGCCTCTGTTATACCCTTAGGATTTCAGTGCCTAGGACTTGAGTGTAAATTTCATAAAGATACTGCTCATTAAGAGAAAAAACAAGCATTTTTGGTGGTCTTAAAAGTCATGCTGATATCTTATTACAGGAAAATGAATGAGTATATATTAAAGTAACTGCTCTCCCACATCCCTTTTGAGTTAGCAATAGTGTAGCTCACAGTTTAGTTGCCATTAGGATCATATGGAGAAACGACTGAACTTAGAACTGCTTCATTTTACACATTAGGGAAAAAACCCCTCCATTTAGTCTGGGATGTGGTCAGTCACAGGCAGAATGGGCCCAGCTATACAAGTGTGGTCTTTCAATTAATCACCAGAAAAGCCTGTCCATAAGCAAAAGTGTTTTCAAGTATCACAAAAACAAGAAGCAGGCTTAAAAAAAATGCCACCCCTCCCCCCAACTTGTTAAGTTTACATTTTTTAAATGTAATACAGCCTGGACACTTGAAAACCATGCAGACAGATGCCAAATACCATTATAAAGAGAAAGTAGGACAGCCTGTGAATCAGGTGTTCCATTGTAGTGACAAAAATGATGAGATCACTTTCGACAGCACTCTGCAAATTGATCTCACTGCAGTTCTTCTGGCACTGAGCATTGGCTTTTCCATTGATGATAAAAGCTCAGCTTTAAACACAGATCCATATTCTAAGTACTGCTAAAGAAAATAATATTTTAATTCCTGTTAGGGTTTCCATTAGCCTGAATTACTGGGGACAAAATACTCATACTGGCAAACGCTTGGGACCTTATTTTCATTTCACCTGCTTTGGCACTGACAAAAGGCCTTAAAGTCATGTAGGTGCAAATCCCACTTGTGCTAGAGCAAAAATGGTTCAGGGCATAAATAAGACTCAAATTCATCTGCATTTAACTTAACAGCACTCCCACTGACTTCAAAGACTGCAGTTACTAGTGTTTGCAGCAAGAAGCAATCCTTCAGGGATTTATTTTTCCAACATCCAGTACCTTTAATAAACTAACATATTAGTGACATCTCTCAAACACTATCTTGTCTCACAATTAGGTCCCTTTCCTGCCAAGAAGACCCCTGCTGTATGTTCATTGTGAGTGTGCTAACAGTTCATAATGCTGAATGGTTTGGGATAAATTAAGCAAATGAATACTCAAGGAAAAAGAAAAGCACTATATTGATTTGTTGTCTAGACATAAATGTATCTGCTAACATATTGCAGACATTATTCAAAGCCAGTACTGGCTGGAATAAGTAGAGTCAGTTTTTCTGCTAGGGAAAGGAAAGCACCGAGAACAATATAGCTTATTAAATAAGTGTAATAAATTAGATGCTAATAATTAAACTAATTCTCATTAACACTTTCAATCGTATGTATGTCAGGAGAGAAACAGTAATTTTGCCAGTTATTACTTCATTGGCTGGAAAAAGTTACATGCATTACATTTCATGAAATATTCAGAGCATTATTTTAGATTTGATTTACATAAAATTTATAAATTCTGTATTTGACCGGAATGCTATTTCAATAATAGCAAGATGATTCACTTTATTTGATTAAAAAAAAATGAAAATGGTTATTTGAAGCTTTGGAACTCTGCTTAATTTTTCATAGAGATAAGGGGAAAAGATAACTGCTTACAGAAATAACAAACCATAATAAACTGTACTTTTAACATCTTGAGTTCAAGTACTGGTCAACTTGATCTAAAGTGCTATAAGGCAGTATTTTTTTTTTAATGAACTTAGCTGATCTGAAACATCTGTTTCTCACCCTCCCTTTTCCTGCTCCTTCCCCCCCACTCTCCCCTGAACTTCAAAAATAATTAATAAAAATTATTCTGCCTTCATATTTTGTTAACCCCAGTTCCACTAGGGTTACAACGCACGCAGCAAAGTCATTTGTGGAGGGACCCAAAAGGTCACTGTATCACCGGCTTCCCTGACAGTTTAAGTTAATTTCACCACAATGTGGTCGAGTGGTTTTTTGGGGAGTTTTTTTGTTGTTTTTTTAAATATTTTTGCAGTGGCAGCATTTTTTTTTTTCCAATGACTATTCAAGGTGTGTTCCTGTGTGCAACATGCTGTTAAAATAATCCCATAATCCCATGGTTAATTTTACATAGGACAAACACTTCTGAAGAAATAAAAACGGCTTCCTTACATTTAGGAACCCCACCTGTCCAGCCTGCTGACCAGCGTCGGGGCAGACAAGTTGGACAAACTCTTTCAGAGTCTCCTGAGGATGATAGCGGATTGCTGGGTGTGAGAAGTATGGCCCAGGCTGTTGAATAATGGGTGATGTTGGAAAATGAAGAGTCGATGGTGTTGCATGTGGACTTGCTATAGGAAAGAAAACAAAGAAGTTACATAGAGTTTTGCCTTCGGAAAATAAAACAGTTTAAATCTACTGTAGTTTTACTTTTAGTCTTTTTTAAAATGTACAGTATTGTTTACACATCTGATCTTCACAATTAATATATTAGACCACTTTGTGTCCTACACTCACTTCATCTAGATCCTGAAAGCAAACGGAGCCAGACATTTTGAAGGATTTTCTGTATTTTTAGTGGACACATATAAAGGAATCAGCAGTCCTTTGTGAAAGTGAAAACTATTCATCACCTTAAGAGCAGTCCTCATCAATCAGGCAATAAAGAAATGTATTTGGGAGATTAGAGTTGATTTAATTGACATTTCATATAACTTGGATTTACACATATGAATCCATTTTATATTGTACTATAAATGGTTGATAATTTAAAGATGGTCTAACGCTTCCTGTTGTTGGGGGTTTTTTTCCACCTCAGTTTAGGAACATTTATTTTAAGTAACGTGTTTTCACCTAATGAACATGCACAAAGTGGCAAGATCGTTTTGAAAATTACATTTACATTTCTCCTGAATAATGTTGGGCTCAAATCTTCAGCAAGCCCCCAGCTTGCATTCAGGGATGAAGTTTAATTTGGTGAATTTATGGGCCAACAAGTCAGCTGGAAAATGTACTACAGTGAAGGTGTAAAGGTGTAATGTACACAAGCCTATTGGCAATGACAGATTTTACCCTCAGCTGATTTCAGCAGAACTACGAGTGCAGCTGAAAAGCCTTACGCTCTCCTATGTTATGGGACACCTTTGCCCACTTCCTTGGCCTTCAAGAAATATTGGGTTGGACCCTTGTTAGCTAACAGTGCTTTCCACTGTTAGTTGTCACCACGAGGTAGCAACTGCTGCCACTCATAGTGCTATGAATTCTCCCTTTCCTCTCTAAAATGAGAATTGATTCTTCCTTTAGAATGGCCAATTAATCTGGTTGCGCAGAAGCTCATCTGTAAATCATAGTTTACTTCTCACCAACAGTCATCATTACATCCCTGTTGCTCCCTTGGCATGCTATCCTAGTAATCTTCCAAGGGTGTCCATGTGCATATACTGCACTTGTACACCACACATAACGGATTAGATAAAGGCTATGCAAGGGAGGTACTATCCTACAGAAACTCACATGTTGGCTTTGAAGTAAGTTAAATATACAAGAGGGAAAAAAAAGCCTTTGGCACTTTTCGAAAAATTGGAGACATGCAGGAAAGAACTAAAATCAAATACAAATGAGCAAACACTCATTTCATGTTATGAATGTTATGAAAAACTCACAGTTAAATAAAAGCTAAAATCTGCTTCTTAGTCTTGTTCATTGCCAGTTTAATAATACAACACTTTATTAATAATTTTTTTCTTAAGCATTATTAAACCATTAGCAAACTCAGAGCCTGAAGATGTGGATAAAAAGTACTCAGAGACAGCAGCAAGGAAACCTTCTGCAGTATCCTATAAACATTCATTAAGGGTTGGCTGGGCAGCACTTCTATGTACTTCTTTCTCCACGACTGGATAGGAATGATTGCTTTGACACCACCACCAAAAAGAGCTGCACTCATGCCTGGGGTGCTGATACAGGATGAATATGGAGCTCTCATCCTTGCCATGAAAAGCTCCCCTGTACCCTTGTCAACCCCATGAGTCTTCCCAGTCTGCTCCCCTTAATACTGTTTAAAATATTCACAACAGAAAGAGAAATGCACGGGAAAACACCACTGAAAGAAAGCATGGAGATAAGGAACCAAAAGGTAGCGTGCAGCCTTCAGCTATCTCTGATCAAAGCAGATGTATATCCAGTGAAACTCTTCTGAAAGCATGGCCTATACCTATCTTATAACAGCTAGGTATTGTGGCATGTGGGCTGAACTGGAAAACAGTGTCTTCCCACAGCCGTGCTAGCTCTGCAATGCTGCACTTGGGAAAAGGAAACAAGAAGCAGCATATCCCACACTCCTTGTTATGGAAATGTTGACAGTTACTCCATGGCCAAGGCAAACACCTGTGTGCCCAGCCTGTTCAACCTGTCTGCACATCTGGGCTTATCTCGTGTTTTGTACAAACCTAGTTAATTATTTCTTATTCACTTTTAAGGCAAATAGTTTTGTTCTGAGTTTGCATCTTAAATTATAGTATACTTGAAAACTCTTCAGATAAAAACCCAAATCCTCAAAGGAAGAAATGAAAGCTATTCTCCTGTCCCCAAACTCCTGGGAGAGGCTGTAACTTTGAAGTGTGCTACTAAAGGTAGAGATAATGTGGGATTCACCTTAGTAAATGTGGGTGTCTACCATGGAGCTAATTATCTTAGAATCAATGGAGAACTAAACAGAACTAATGGTGTCTAAGAAGCCGTTCATCTCGTCCAAAACCAGACCACTGCCTTTGACTAGACTTCATTGACCACACTGACTGGCTCACCAGTGGATGTGAAGGGAGCCCACTGGTACTAACTCCGAGGTAGATACCTCCAGTCTATGCACACACCTTCAGTTAGGTGAATTCCACCCAAAGTGTCAGCCTCTGATCTCACTTACACCAACTCCTGAGGTGTAATTGCTTTAATGACACTTACGTCATAGCCACTTTACAGGTATGAATGTATCATCACCTTCTCCCGGAAGCAATAGTCATTTTAGAGCTTGTCAAAATATTTTGCCACAAATATTCGTTCAACAAAAGTTGGTGGTAAGCATTTTGATGACTACAACAAAATTTTCATTAGCATACAACATTTCTGGCATTTTTTTGATATAAAACATATTCTTCCTCTCTTCCTTCGTATTTCCTTTTATAGTTCCCCCTTTCCTTGTATGCCAAATGGAAGATGAAGGATGAAGATAAAAGTGAGAAATGAAAATTTACGTGGCAAACATCTAATTAAGTAAAAAATAGATTGGGATTTTTTAAACATTTATTAAAAAAAAATTCATTTTAGCACCAGCTCTGTTAATACTATTTGAAATTGTTATGCAACTGCACTGTCCTTTGTACATATCTGGGAACAAATTCATTCCTTTTCTTCCACTGGGTGAAAAGGAGATAGAAATGCTATTTCAATCAAACAAGAAGGAATAAAAAATTGTACCCAGGGAACATGTGGAAATTCAAAGCTAGGCCTGAGACCGCACTGTATTTAGCCTTTTCAAGTTATGACTCTTCATTTAGTAGTTTGATTTGCTATATGAAAGACATGTTATGATTATTAGAAATACTCATAGGCATGTAAGTAGTGGGTCTTTGTTGCCTTGACCTCCTCAGCATGTCAGGGTAGAAAACAAAGTGGAAAGCATTTGTCGGTGATCTTCCCAAAGAGAGCGAGAAGAAAAATGAATGCAGAAACGATCAACAATAATTCAGGAAGGCAAAGTGCCACAAGAAGGAGAAAGTGGTTCCTCTTCAGAGTCTTGGCCAACTCCTCAGCACAGCCTTGAAGGGCTTTCTGCTGATCACAGGAAAGACTGGGGGAAGGAAACAAGACTGAACAGGCATCAGTCCTCAGTCTGTGCCATATACTGACATATAGGGTTCATTTTCTCAGAATAGATGGATTAGCACAAGAAGTAACAAATGTAATAAGGATCTCCAAAAGGTTTGTCTTTGCAATCTCTGACTGGGAAATACCAAATTTCTCAAACAGCAAAAGGAGGGGCTGTTTGATAAGAGGAAGAATCTACTACTATTAAACTGATCAACATTACGGGTGTGCCTGCCTTATACTAGAGAGAGGGAATTAAATGCTAAAGTCTAAAAACTGCTGGTCCAGATACAGACCCATTACTCCAATAGCTGTGTTGTGGTCACCAACTCTGGTGTATGCAAAAATGGCCTTTCAAACAAATTCTGAGTGCAGAACACAACCGTCTTTCCAAATATATGGATCCTCACAAACATTTTTCATCAGTTAAAGGACATGAGGTAGTAGAGCAGGTTGCTATTTTCCTTGTTTGCCATTAAACGGGGCAAGTGACCATGGAAAAGCCCCATCAGTCATGATTTTCAGAAATGCTTAATAAAAATTATTAAGTCATTGCTTCTGAAAACCATGCCTAGAGTGATGCAAGTTTTCCTGTGTATAAGAATGGGCTATTACTACTTATGTGCTTCTGATGGGATATTACAAGTCTCAATCAGTGATTGTAAATTCTTTGACATCGTCAAATGGAAGATAAAACAGGTCTTTGTCTATTATTTATTTACTTATTGACTTATTATTTATGTATCCCTAAGCAGCTCCATGCTGCCAAACCATATTTCTCTTGGCGTCTTTCAGCCTATGACATTTATATTTTATTATTGACCTCACTAAATGACATAAAATTTAAGTTCTACAACCTATGAAAATATGTGTATTCCAGATCAGAACTTCGTTTCTACCTGCTGTAGGTATGGAGGAGTTGGACTATCTGGCATTATTAAATCTGTTATTTGTGTGTGGGGGCTGGAGGCAGGAATTATCCTTCCATCTCAAGGCAAGCATAAATATTTCAAAGCACACATGATTCTAATTCCATTGAAGCTCATCTGAAACATCCCAGACTTTTTATTGAAAATGAGATGATAATGTATGGTGGCCTGCAACAGATATACCAGTATTTTAAAACTACTGCTATTGGGCCAAGTAATTATGCAGTACAGCTGTTGCGTGCTATACTGGATTTTTTAGTGTTTTATGAGTTCGTGGTGCTGTGCAGCACAGAAGTAAGAGGATTTTTCAGAACGCTGAATTCAAATGTCTGATTATGCAGGCCTGTCTTGTCTTTTCCCTTCTTGATTTATAGTAGCCAATAACAAACTAAGCAACTAATAAGTTGCATTCATTGATTAGGTTAGCACTTAACATGTCTAAGGCAAATGAAGAAGAGACAAAATTGTGAATTCTATTCAAGTGAATGATCAGATAATAAAGAATCAGTTAATCTGAAACAGGTTATAGTTTTCTTCAGATATTTAGTACCCTTCTCAGG